AGATCACTTTATAGCAAAGAACATTTTGTATTGCATGTAGAGAAATAATATTTATTTCGGAATTTTCTCCAAACATTATTCTTACAAAATCCATAAAGTCTTTCTTCATACAAATAACACAATGATTTTCACAATAAAATTAGCTTTTATACATTTTTGTGTGGTTTCCGTACCATTGCCATAAAGGAATTTACATGAAAATGTATTATATCTGATCACGCATAGATAAAAACTATATTAAATGTAATTTCTTTCAGATTCGTATATGGATGTCTTACTATTTATATACAGATAGACGTACACACATATGTATGTGTTGAAATAGTTTTAGATCTTACATTGTTTCTTTTCCGTCTTTAATCATTAAGTGAAATGGATTATTTTTCGTTCTCCCTGTCATCGCGCCATTTTTATCTGTCGAAGCTTTATCGCATCAGATATAATAATATGTTAGTAAATATCAGTTCAACAGGAAAAGCTTTGCTATCTCTCATTATTTACAATATATTCCCCTCTTTTATTTTATTTTCTTTTTCTTTTTAAGCATAATTAAATGATGTTCTGAATATTTCACTTTTGAGTTTTCCTTCTTTTCTAGTTTTTCTTCTCAGTCCATCAGTTTTTTTTTTTTTTATCAATTTTCCTTCTGTTTCCTATTTTCTTTTTTCTTATATTTCTTTTCTGGCATACGCCATTATATTCGCCTTTCAATTTTCTTTTTACTTTAGTTTCTTTCTTTATGCTGACACTCCATTTTTTTTCATTATATTAGTCTTCCACTTTTCTTTTCCTTTTTTTTCTTTCTTTCATGGTTGATTACAGCTTTCATTCTTTCGTCTTCGTTTTCGTGTTTCTTTCTTTCATTTTTATCAAATGTTCGTTCTTTCTTTCTGTCTTTATTTCTTACACTTCCCATTTAACCTTTTTTTCTAGGTTTATTTAATTATCATCTATTTATTTTTTCCATATATAGTTCTTTACGTCATTTTCTATCTCTCAGTTTTACGGTCTTTCATTCTTATTCAGTTATACAATGACATTTTTCTCCCAACTACAGGGTTCAATGTGGAAATTTTCGCCATTTCATGTATTTCCTTTCGCGCATGCGCGTTGTTTATTTTTGAATTTGTCGGCTGCATAGTATAGTCGAGTCACTTGGGCACCGTCTTTGAGAAAAAATGTGCACCATGACGGAATTCACTCTTCCAGAAATTTGGAAACGGCGTGCTGTATTTGTTGGTATTGGCGCCAGAAGAATCAATACGAACATTTCAGAGTGTTGGGCAGTGATCACTATGTCTGGCAACAGGAAACTGCGCTATGTCACACAAGCAGGAGAACCCAGTCATGCCTGTCAGACAATTTCTGCGACTACATCAACACTTACATATGGCCACTTAACTACTAACCCCACTTGATTATTATGTGTAAGGCGCAGTTGAGCGAGAGACTAATAAATCTTCTTGTAACACCAAAGATGAACTGAAGGAAAGGATTATGGCAGCATTCACCAGCTTAAATATGGATACTCTCCAGAAGAGATGCAGGAATTTCCGAAGTCGCTTGGAGGCCGTAGCAGAAGCCAATGGTGATTTTTGTTGAATTAATTTACTCTTCAGTATTTCAAGAAATTTTTGGGTAATTATGGTAAATATATCTGTTAAAATGAGAGGTTAGTGTAATTTTATTTTTGCGTTATTTGGACGACAATTTATTCATTGAATTCTTTATTTCTTCCTTTTTAAAATTTAATTAATTTATCTTTCTTCGTTTTATCATTTGGGCAATTTGACGTGCTGTAATCGTTAGGAAGCTTATCTCGCTAAATCAGTTCCGATTAAGTAGAGATTTCGATCCTCAGTGGGTACCTTATACATTAGGCCTTCTGCTACATCTCAGCTCTGCTTAGAAAATCACTATTTATTCATTCTTTTCTCTTTATCAGTTTTATTATAACTTTTTCTTTTTCAATTTTCATTCGCTTCTTCTCACGTTAGAATTGTTCTGTTTCACAAAGTTTATAATTCTTTACTCTTTCTTTTCTCACTTCCTTTAACTTTAATAATTCCTTCTTTCTTTCTTTCTTTCTTTCTTTCTGTTTTCTTTCTTTCTTTCTGTTTTCTTTCTTTCTTTCTCACTTCATTTCTCTGATGTCTACATTCTCTTTTTAAATTTTTGTTTCATCCTTTTATCTCTTATCTTTTTCAGTCACATTTTATTTTTATTTTTTTCCTTTCATCGTTTATCATGTTTCAATTTTCAATTATATTTTCTTTCTTCCTTTTCCTAGGTATTCACTCATTCATTTTTTAATTTGTTTTTCTTTCTTCCATTTCTTTTCAGTCGCGTCTTTTTTTTAATTTTTTTGTACGTTTAATTATTCACGTCTCTCCCTTTTATTCTCCTTTATTTATTTATTTATTTTTTATTCACGTTTTCTTTTTCAGTTTTCTGTTTCTTTATTTCTCACCTTTATTTTTTTTTCTTTCTTATTCAAATGTAATTTTTAAATTTATTTTCTTTCTTTCTTTCGATCTTTCTTTCTTTACTCTCTTATTCCTGTGTTTCTTTCTTTCTTTCTTTCTTTCTTTCTTTCTTTCTTTCTTTCTTTCTTTCTTTCTTATTCCAGTATAATATTTAAATTTATTTCTTTACCTATTAATCACGTATATTTTCTTTTTCTTTATTTCTTTCTTTCTTTCTTTCTTTCTTTCTTTTTTCTTTCTTTCTTTCGATCTTTCTTTCTTTACTCTCTTATGCCTGTGTTTCTTTCTTTCTTTCTTTCTTTCTTTCTTTCTTTCTTTCTTTCTTTCTTTCTTATTCCAGTATAATATTTAAATTTATTTCTTTACCTATTAATCACGTATATTTTCTTTTTCTTTCTTTCTTTCTTTCTTTCTTTCTTTCTTTCTTTTTTCTTTCTTTCTTTCGATCTTTCTTTCTTTACTCTCTTATGCCTGTGTTTCTTTCTTTCTTTCTTTCTTTCTTTCTTTCTTTCTTTCTTTCTTTCTTTCTTTCTTTCTTATTCCAGTATAATATTTAAATTTATTTCTTTACCTATTAATCACGTATATTTTCTTTTTCTTTCTTTCTTTCTTTCTTTCTTTCTTTCTTTCTTTCTTTCTTTCTTTCTTTCTTTCTTTCTTTCGATCTTTCTTTCTTTACTCTCTTATGCCTGTGTTTCTTTCTTTCTTTCTTTCTTTCTTTCTTTCTTTCTTTCTTTCTTTCTTTCTTTCTTTCTTTCTTTCTTTCTTTCTTTGTTATTCTGTATAATATTTAAATTTATTTCTTTACCTATTAATCACGTATATTTTCTTTTTCTTTCTTTCTTTCTTTCTTTCTTTCTTTCTTTCTTTCTTTTTTCTTTCTTTCTTTTTAAATTTCTTTTCCTTACGTTTCTTTTTTTACTCTTCTATCACGTTTTCTTTTTAAATGTATTTTTCATTCTTACCCTTTTTATTTTCGTTCTTATTCAAATGTTCTTTTTCAATCTCTTTTTCTTTCTTTTACTTCTTCTCTATTATTTTTTTGAATTTCCTTTGCCTTATGTCTTCTTTGTTTTTCTGTCTTTCGTATTCTGTTATTTCGTTTACATTTTTTTACTTCTGTTTTTGTTATTCACGCATTCTCTCTTTGTTTTGTTTTTTTTCTCTCTCTTTTACATCAATTTTCTTTAGAACTCATTGTTTTATTTATTTTCTTCTGCTTCTTTCTGTTTGCGAGTGTTAAAATCAGATTCTCTTCTATGGGGAAAGTTTACGCGAACGCCAAAGACAGAAAGAAATAAACTGCGGAAAGCTCAATTACACGCTCTGGAGATAACATAAGATAAAACTCGATAGTGAAAAAGGACAAATACGCCGATTACATGTATTAAACACTTATTTTATCAAACAGAAAATACGAGAACACGCAAGCCTGTTTCACATTCGAGTATAAAATTGATAAACGTAACAAGATTTCAAGAGATCCGCGTAATCAAGAAAGAAACACACAAATATAGGAAAAGGCATCTATCAAAAACAGAAAAATACTGTTCAACGTATGGCACATGGCCATCATGAATGAAGAGAGTTAAGTGCCTGTCTTCTGTCCGTCCTGGGTATGACGATAAACTGCATCCTCGTCATGGGTAAGACGATAAACTACATCCAAAAGCAAGGGTTCTGATCAGGTTTTGAGGAGTGTGGAACCACCTCTTAATTACTGTTTTTTCCAGGTCCACCCTGACCCGGGGTGGTAGCCCCTGTTAGGGTTCCAACTATGGGCAAACTGTTAACACTCAGACTACATCCGCGTCCTGGGTATGACGATAAACTAGATCCGCGTCCTGGGTATGACGATAAAATACATCCGCGTCCTGGGTGTATCAGCAAGGCTTCTGATAATACGTTTTTGAAAAAATAATGTTGCCAGCTGTACGATTTTGAAAAAAAAATAATATTACCAGCTATACAATTTTGAGGAAAAAATATTAACGGAAATAGATTTTTGACAAAAAAAAAAAATATTACCAAGAAAAAAAGTTTGTCAGCATTAAATGGCCCATTGAAGTTGAGGAGCCATAAAACAAAACAAACAAACCTACTTGTCTTCTGTGTGTTAAATGTTTTACTACCGGATGCGATGGATAAATTAAGCAACAAATGAAAATAATACGGACATCTCATTTTAACAGATATATATTAACAAAATTACACAAAAATATCTTGAATACTAAATAGTACATGTATTCAATAAAATCGCCATTGGTTTCAATAAGGTTTTCCAGACGTCTACGGAATCTCCTGCAACTCTTCTGGGTTGTCTCGTTGTTTAAGATGGTGAATACTGTGATTATCCTTGCCTTCAGTTCATCGCTGGTACTACTAGGAGTTTTGTTGGTCTCTTGCTCAGCTGCGCCCCACGGATGATAATCAGGGCGGTTACAGTGTGGGGTTTTAGATCATCTTTGGGCAGATTTGTTCACATAAAGGAGGGCAGATATCACGTAACAGATCAGTACTCTGTTCTTGGTTTCTGACACTTAATAAACAGCTTAGCTTACGTCTTCGTGTTTCAGTAGTGTACTTTCCAAACGAGTTAATTTTCAGTTTCGCACCCGCGCTCAGTTTGAATTGAAAATTTCCAGAATAAATAAGATTTATGTATAATTGTACATGCTTCATTCGAATCTGGCTTGATAAATTTGATAAAATCTACTGTTTTGGCCTTTTTGTTTTATTCGCTTTACGGCAGCCATTACTGGCGTTATTTGCATACATTCGCTGCTGAATAGGTATGCGTAGAATATTCACTTGTCTTGATTATTACGCCTGCAATATAGTTCTCTTGCGCAGTAATTGAGACAAATTAGATCAGTAAATAAGGCCGTTAACTACGTTCCCTTCCGTGCTTAGCTTTCTGCAGCGAATACATGGAAAACAACACAAGTAACGGTTACCGCCAACGACACGAATGAATCCGAAGTTCTACTGTCGATAACTCCAAAACGGGAGATTTTATCTAATTCATCAAGCCAGATTCGAATGAAGCTTGTAGAATTAAACATAAATATAAGTATTTTGGAAATTTTAAATGCGATCTGAGTGTGGGTGCTAAACTGCAAATAAACCTCCAAACGTATTTTAGTAAGAAAAAGCCTATCAATACTGGGAAAAGGTGATAACAGATACTGGACATTAGAAACATATTTTCCTGTAAAATTGTTTTAAGAGAAAGATTGTATGAATTGTAAACGACAGCAGTACTTGCTATATTGATGGTGAAATACTTCCTTATGAGGAAACAGTTTATATTAACATTGTGCGGCAATATGAAGGAATGTTGTTTAGTTATCCCCGCAACAGCTCCAGTGTATGTTTAAAGTAATAGCCTTATGCTTAAAAATCTCGGTTGGATTTTTCGTTTGAGAGCGGCGCAGACATTATGCATTAACCTCAGTGCTTTAGCTTTTTATGGAAATAAGGAATGTGCTATAAGGGGATAAGTTTTCACAGAGCCGAACATGATATATGTTCGAACCATGATCGGCTTTCCAACGCAAGGCTTGATGTCGATGCATATATGTCTAAAATAAATAGTCATAGGAATTAGTTCGAATTTGCTATGAATGACAAAGAATAATTAGTAGTAAACATATAATGTATTTATAATCAATTAAACCGGGAGAAATAGAATTTGCTCAATAAGAAAAAAAAACTTTTTAAGGTGATCAATATATATTTTATATATTTTATATATTTATTTATTACATTTTCAGTCTTTATCGACCTCTTGTGTGTTATAAGATGAACTGTAGCAAAGTTCGATATTTAGAATCTATCTTACAAATTTATAGGTCTACCCGTCTTTCGTAGGTCGAATGTAACTGCCATCTCTTGCCAAGTGCTACGGTTTTATATCTAGTGGGAAATCTCCAATGATATTAGGCCTAATCTAGAGTTTAATTACTTTACCACCGTCATAACATAGCCCCCTTGTGCTTTTTTTTTATAAATATTATATGGAGAATCTTTCCTGGTGAGATTTCTTATTCGATACATTGGCATAAAGAATTTAAGCCCAGTAGTAAATTAGGAGATAAGTCTCATAAATCTATTCTTGGTATCTTTTGGTGTAACCGTTACTTCTATGTTAATTCTCCCACTTGTGAAAATCTCTTCCGGCTTCCTGCTTAACTGAAAAATTTGATGTGTAAAAATATAACCGCAGTACATAAATTTAAATGAAATGGAAATAATCGATGGAAATGCAAACATTTTTAAATGCGTCCTCGTCTACCTCCTTTCATTTCTTTTTCTTTCGAATTTTTTTAAATTCTCTGTGACTCCTTACATTTGAGTGGCTTTTATAGCATTGCTTGGGGTGAAATGATATTAAAATATGCCTATTGTGCTCAATCACGCGATCACGACAATAGAAACAACCATTAATTCTTTCGCGAACCATGACCAATTTAATAGGAAAAATGTTATATCTATCTATCTATATATATATATATATATATATATATATATATATATATATATATATATATATATATATATTCGATGCTGAAAAATTTATTTCGGTTGAGCTCTCTGGGGAGGAAGTGTGGGTTTGCAAACAGTGACTATTACGGCCAATAATGCAAGACTCTTCGGTAAATCGAATCATGTTCTCGCAGTCACTGTGTGTTTATCTAAAAATTAATATGCTTAAATCCACCTCCATCCATGCCGTGCGTCAACGGCTTAGTGGGAGAATCCGGATTGACGCCGATTCAGTCGGGTTTCGATTCTAGCTAAAGGCAACCGGACGTCTAGCCACACTGTTCATACGGCGAAACAGTCTCTCTGTGGATCACTATGTATGTATATATATATATATATATGTATGTTTATTAAAGACATTTTTATGTTTAACGTTCTTTTTTATAGATACAAGTATTTAAGTAAATGTTCTGTTTATAATAAACAGTATTAAATAATATTTACCGGCCTGAATGTCCGAGAAATTTTCATAGAAAATATTCGTCCTTTGACAGGATTCGAACCTGCATGCTATACGGAACCGTCATTTACGCTGACGTAATCCTGTCAAAGGACGAATATTTTATAAATTGTCGGACTTTGTCCATTTTAATTAATATATATATATATATATATATATATATATATATATATATATATATATATATATATATATATATATATATATATATATATATATATATATATATATATGTGTGTGTGTGTGTGTGTGTATTTTGGCAGCATGTCACTATTAAGTCAGGTGTTCTTAAAGACTACGGAATTCTTCCGCTTGTTGATTTCTTTCTTGCTTCTTCGCAATTTTCTTTAATGTTTGGCTTCAGGTTGTTAAAATAACCATGCAAAACACAACTAATAACCCACTCAAATCATCTGTATAAAAGAATTTTAATTAACAACACCAAAATCCTCTATAAGAACGCTTGCAGAAACGACTACAAATTCTGGAAGCGATCTTCATCAAAAACCAAAAACCAAAAATCAATAAATTAGCAGAAACATATTGCATATATTTAATAACTAATACTCTATTTAAAAAAAAATCAATCCCCTCCTTACCAATAATGAAATAGTCCAATAATACCATCTAATATTATCTATAAAACGAAAACAATCAATAACATATCTTCAAATAAAAACAAACGCCTTGATGACGGTTGAGGACAACCGAAATCGCTCGACAGAAAGCTATTGACTCGGATCCTACTTTAAAAACCTTAACATTGTGAAGAATGCATATCGCGATTACTTTCGAGTCAAACTAGAGGATCAGGGGAAACCTTTCTCTACCCATGTTTGCTGTAAAAAATGTGTGGAGAACTTGAATGATTGGAAGAATAATAAAAGGAAGAATTTGCCATTTACCGTCCCAATGGTCTGGAGAGAAGGAAAAGATCACATTACGTACTGCAATTTCTGCATGATAAATCTAAAAGGAATAAATCGTAAGAACAAGCAACATGTCCAATACTCCGATGTTTCTTTCAGTCATAAAACCAGACACTCATGGGCCAGATCTTCCTGTTCCTGAGCCAGACGGTAACATGGGATATAGCTCTGATTCCGAAAGTAGTGATATGACTATTGAAGCTGGGGTAGACGCATACAAGCCAGAGGAGGGCAACAAGCTATTACTTTTGACACAAGCAGAACTCAACGACCTGATATGAAACGAGAACCTTTCAAAGGAATCTG